AGCGTCAATCGATCACAAATATAATTAGGATGAAATTTGCAAATGGAACTATCTGCCAATGGGCAGGTTTAGCGGAGATATTTGCATCCAAAGCGGGAAAAATGCGCAGCAAATTTGGAAAATGAAAAATTTGTTAGCCTTGAGAGTGCATTTTCTCCTCCATTTATGCAAATATCTCCGCAAAACCTGCGCATTGGCAGATAGTTCCATTTGCAAATTTCATCCTAATTATATTTGTGATCGATTGACGCTTGTTTGGTCCAAATCTGTGAGCATACGTTGGGAGACCTCCATTGTTAGCAATTTTTGACTAATTTTACCGAAAAGCCAGATAAATTTCAATTCAAAAACAATTTTTAGTCTTAAAAATTTCCTCCTCCTGCGTCAATGCTACGCTAAAGAAGACACGACCACTCCTCGATGGAATCACGCACAGATTCCAGGGACATTTTGTGGCATTCCGGGGTCAGAAATTTTTTCCAAGCCTCCGCACTTCTACGGGGCTTAGAACACACCTTTGTCCCTAACTTTGACCATTTTTCATATTCCGGTGGTTCAAATCCATCAAGGATGATGACCATTTCTGATTGGAGATAAAGACCGGAATTTGTTTTTTTAGCTACGCTTGGGTCATTTTTTGCACTATAAATTCGTGCTGGGTGCTGCTGAGAGGTCCCATCGATTCCATTGAATTGGATCTCACTTAGGGGATGTACCACGGACTCAAAAACATATTTTCAGAAATTTGATTCCCCCACCTCCCCCCAATTTTCAGCAAAATGTAGAGAAATTACCCCAATTATCTCCCACCTGCAAAAATCATCAAAAAACCTGGATAATGTGACTTTCTGACCTTTTGTCTATATCGGGGGATGTCTCTGACCGATTTTGCGTAGATTAGGACAACTCGCTTGTTAAAAGATTTTTTCGATGTGAAAATCTCCTCATTTGTAAAAATAATCCTGCTCACTTATTTGGAGCGTACCGCTTGAAGTGACTGCTGCATTTCTTTAATCTAGCTTTCCTTTGGGGTTCGATCAGGCTGTGGCAAGTACCACATTTAAAAGTCCTAAGTCTAAGGTTCAATTTGAGCACTGATTGAATAATTTGCATCGACACTGTCAGCAGTGAGCCCGGTTTCCGTTGGAATTTCGTGAATTTCTTCGGGTTCCAGGCTTGAGAGGTTTAACGATGGGTGTGGTCCTTGTTGGTTTTCAAAAAATTCTTCTTCGACTGTTCTTTGTCTATACGGTCCCCATGAACCTTTTTATAGTCCATTGGGCTAAATTAAAGTATACCTTTGACTTTTTCAGCACATGTCAAATTCACTATTTTTCTTGGATTTTTTTTTTGTGAAAATCTATTGCCGCCTGCTTCTCTTCAATTTCCTATATATTTATCCAGATGTTCAAAAATTACAAAGTCCATAGTGAATCATAATGTAAATCGCATGGCGAATCTAATGCACTTATCAGATTTTAATTCTGTGGCGTAGTTTTTTAGCAATGAGCTATTGACACTTGAGTGTATACGACTAGGTACATATATCTCTCCAACTAATTACATGCGTTTGCTCATTTTCTGAGATTAGTTGCAACAACGGTTATTAACATTTTCGATTAGATGCATCTCAAAAAATTTGCATGCCACAGTCAAACGCAAGTACATACGTAGACAAATATACCAAATCAAAGATATGCAAATATTTATCTTGTATAGATATTAAAACACAGTTCATATTCATAAATCAAAGCTTCAATAGACCCGGAGCAACGATCTACTCTGACTCCAAAAGGACACTCACAGTCTGATCCATCCAAACATCGTACAACTGTAATGCTGACATTTTACTAATAACACCAATACTTCCGCAAATAATTCCCACCCTTTTCAACGACCTTTGCACCATGGCAACATTCCTTCTTTCAAACCGGTTCGTCCTCTGTACAGAGTTGTACATTTTAATGTACTCGCCCGAACTCACATGCACTTTAGACCCCACATTTAGAAAGAGACCCCAACAAACTGTTATGAACACATTTGTCAGCGGATAGGTTAAATATATCGCGAACGGTATTTTCCCATAGAACGATATCATGGCGCTCGTTGCGGTAACATAAACCGCTGACGAGCATCCCAGTACCGACGTAAAGACGTAGGAAAATATCTGATTGTAAGAACTAACCAGAATTCGGACGGCGTTGTATCTATTTGCGTCAAGCTTTTTAAGGGTGTAGAGTGAAATCAATATATTTGCGGAAATTAATACAAACTCTGTTGAAATGATGAAGAAAGTATAAGTCCCAATCATCCAGTGGTAGCCTTGTAAAATTATGACAATGCCGCGTAAAATCTTTCCAATGAATCCCCCATGAGAAGGAAGTGAAGCTAGGAAGTAGTACATGGGGTCCAACTTCAGCCCGAAGAATGGTGATAGGGCGACAATTAGGTGGATAAAGATCAACGAGAAAAAGCTATATGATAAGAACATAAAAAGAGTCCTGCCCTTATCCCCCGTAGTAGAAAATGGTACGGTATGGTGACGCCCTAAAATTTAAAAAAATTGGGCTTAATATTGACGTGTTAAGCATACAGATCTTGGTAACAAGTGGCTTGAATGTAAAGACGAACACTTTTTGTTAAATAAGTTGCGTTTTAACTCTTAAAAATAATGTTACCCTTTCGAAAAATAAATGAACCCTGAATGCTGTATTGAGTGAACTACATAATATTCAAAGCAGCCTTTTCGCTTTATCAAATTAATGTATGGAATTGTCTCTGGATTTAGTTGAGTTTGCGTAATACAGAATTCGTATGTATAGCGTGGATTTACTTTCCAATTGGGTAACATTATTCTTAAAAACTTACTGAGTTTCTTAACTTCCCTCATAGTCCAGTTAATTTGATCCGATCGCAGATAAAAAATTACATCGTATGATAAATTGCATAATCCTTCTAATCCAATAATGCTTAGAGGGACCACTGGAATGAGTGTCATATGAATTTTATGTACATAGTAATACACCAGTGTCACTCCAATTCCTACTGTGTAAATAAAACTAAAGATAGTGATTAGTTTGAAGAAAGCGTACTTGGGAAGATTATGAAATGAAATTTGGCGAAATATGCTATTTCGTCCTAATTTATTTCCATGTTGGGTCCCAAACATGGCAGGAAATTCGTAAAGCAAAGAGAAATTTTGAATTGTCGTTTCGAATTTTATACACGCAGTTTCCATTTCGCTTAATTCCACAGTCAAAATACGGTGAGATTGGTATGAAGTCTTAAAAACATGAAAATTTGAACTTACATAAGCTTTTATAAATATGTAGTGCCCCATAATTGTGTCATTGCTTTACGGAAATGGTAATTAAAGTTTTCTTAATTTGAAACCCAAAATAAATCCGGGACTAGATTAAGCGGAGAATTTCATTTTCTTTCTCCAAATTACTTAGAAATTGCATGCATAAATGGTACGTGACTCTTCATAAATACGTAAGAACTTTCTAAACTCGTGGCTTCAATTTTGTTTGTCGGTCATGGTCCTTTATGTATGTGCAGCTGAAGTTTGACATATTTCTCGTTAGATCGATTTAACCAAGAAATTATTGGCAATAGATGGATGTACATAGTCCGACCATAAGTTTCCGTGAATGCATTTCCGGTGATAAAGCCCAAAGTATTAGAGCTATCTGATAGAAATTTTTGTGGATGAACAAGGTATTAATCTTGTTTAGAAATCATAACTTCGTTTTCACAATTTCCTCCACGGGCTTGTACACAAGACATAAGTCGTGGCGAAAACTGCTCGATCGCGGCACGCACGGATTTCCTGGGAAAAGCGCCAGATCTTCAGTAAGTGCGACCTCAGCCCTTCCACACTTGGGTGAAATTTAGAGCATACTTGTACCTATAATTTTCACCACCAGTCATAATTTAGGGGATTAAGGTCTGCAGATACTGAGCACCGTTCTACGGATGAAAAAAAGTCATGAAAATTCGTCTGAAGCCAGTTTTGGACAATTTTGCACCTTGCGCATGAGCAGATTCTTGTTGAAAGGTCCAATGGCGATTTTCGGAGGGTCCAGGGTTCAGGTTATTAACGTTTGTCTCTAGGACACTCTGAAAATAATTCTTGGCTTCAACTTGTACCCTTTGCGGTAAAAAACAGAGATTTCATTTCTCCAGCCAACTTGCTCCCATTCACACCACGGTGATGACTTCGTATTGACTTCCGCATACTTAAACGGATGTCAGACTTCTGTACAACAAATATCTGGCCTTTTTTCTATTAAATTTTTTGCCAACGGTGAAAAGTCTGAAATACTTTTGGCACGAAAATTGGCGCGTACCACGATTGACCTGTGGCCGTCACGAGTTATGTCTTGTCTAATTGCCCGTGGACGAAATCTTGACAAAGAAGTTATGATTTCTAAACAATATTAATACCTTGTTAATCCATAAAAATTTCGAACAGATAGCTCTAATACTTTGGGATTTATTACCGGAAATGCATTCACGAGAACTTATGACCCCACTATGTATGTACATACACCCTGTGTTATCATAATCGTAACTGCGCGGATTGCATAAACTTAAAATTCAAATTTGTCGAATTAACACCGCCGGTGTCAATATATGACTTAACCGCCTTGATTACAATGTTGAATCCGAGTTATGATGATTTTGATACCTGTAGTTATAATGTTATAACCGGACGGAAAAAATTCATTACTACTCGGAATCACAATTGTAACAAAGGCGGTTAAGTCATATATTGACACCGTTTTGTTTTGAGTGTACATACATACATATGTGCTTTCATAAAATGTGCTGATCTTTTTCCCCGTATGATGATAAATCTTGCCCAAATGGTGACAAATTGCCACTGGCTGGTGTTAATTTGGCCACCATTAGGTGAGAAACATTATAACTGCACGGTGAAGTGACATATGTATGTACACTGTTCGGTGACGATTAACAAGGGGTTTCTAGGAGTGTTTTTGCATGTTAAAGTAAAATTTCTCCCGTTTAATTACAAAAAATGACAAAATGTATACCTTTTTACATCAAATTAGTAAGTAAGAATTATGTACAATATTAGCCAAGGAAAATATATGAAACGAATGGGAGAATTGTGATACATATGTCTCCCGTTTCATTAAAATTTCAGCTGCTCCAAATTTAGTTAATATTCAGCTTCCCGTTCGATCTGCAATGGTAGAATTTTAATTTAATTAAGGTTAAGATACATAAGGCGTTTAAATTTAAATTGCCTTAAGGATGCTGAGTATACATACATACTCATGTACTTAATAATGATTACCTCAACTTTGATTAGATCGTAAAAGATCATAAATTATCCTGCTTGCCCCGTCGAATTGGGTGTGGTTGTTGTTCTCTTCCAGGGGAATAAGGGGTCAAAAATGTTGAAGAAGAACTTCTCCTGACGAATTCGAGTTGGAATTTCCATCTAAATTATTTACCATACATAAATTTAATATGTATTTACATGAACTTCGTAAATTTGTAATTTATACATGATGACGTTCAAAGTAACAAATCGTCACCCTCGCAGGTACTACAGTGCTCTGTGCTTGGGTTATGATTAAGGGGACGTCTCCTCAAAAAAATTACAATTTTTAACATCTGGATATAAGATTGTTTAAATACATGAAATCATTGCCTTTTTTAAGACGTGACGTTGAACATTTTAAATAATTTCGAGACGTCTTGTCCACATGCACACATGACGACGTCAAGTGTGCTTTGTACATATATGAGCTTTTGACTTAGGTATCTCCCCCTGGTAACAAAAGGTCTCCTAAATCGTCACCCAAAATAGAGCACTATACAGGGTCACAGATCCTATTTGCACAGTGAGAAAAACTGACCAAACTCATGGGCGGATAAGGTTTTCTGTACTTTCGCAATTTTACTCTCAAAACGTAGTTCTTTGGGGTGAATTTGACGTTTGGTTGACAAAAATCGGTCAACAAATGCCTAAGAAATCGACATCTGAAGTCGACCATCTCTTTCCGCATTTTTCCGAAGGAAAATGGCCACGTGGGAAAATTGTGAAGAAGTAGAACATATCCGGATGCAATGTTACTCGTTCTTCAACATATCATGAACTTAGTTCCGCTTTAATTAGATCAATATCTAAATTAGCGGGACTGGCATCCCCAATAAAGTTGCAGCCCCCAAAAAAGTTTTCGCGTACCGTTTTTCGAAAAATCGACGCCCTGACAAGGCGAGAAAATCTTTTGACCCAAACTCAAAAAGCAAAAGTTGTTAAAATATGTCAGCTGCATGTTAGTAGCGTCATCAACAACAAACTTTAAAAACAGGTCAGAAAAAGGCCAAAGTTCACGTGAAAACAAACTTCACAACGAAAATCTTTGGGAAAACGACCCAGTATGCAGCCGAGTAAAAACAAAAGCTAGGGATTTCAATTGTTCCTAATTCTCAGATACCTATGACAAATCCTTATGCCACTCCTTTAGATTTTTAATGGGTTTAGACTATTAAAACCATAGCTTCTTCTCAGACGAGCTCCAGTTTTTTTGGTGTTTCGGAAAAACCTTCAGGTGGAGTTGAAGAAGATTGCTCTCCAAAATATAGGAAAACTAATGAATTCGTGAAAACGGCGATATAGGCTGGCTAGCCAAAGGTCTGAGGAACGTATTGAATAATCGAAACAAATTCATCGACGCCGACTAAAGGTTTGAGGTCAATTTTAAAACCTGTGCAAATACGATCTGTGATCCTCAGTAGTACCTCGGTCGGGTGACGGTTTTTCTCCAAATTATTCAGAGTATACATGACTTTTTTGACTTGTGCTCCAGACATACAAAGATAGGTGACAAGACGTCTTGTTAACGTCTATTATAAAGCAGTAACTCCAGGAGTGATAAATTGTAAGGTATTTAGAGTGTATGTGCGTATAAACAACTTTCTGCTGAAGATTGACAAATATTATAAATTTCTTTAGAAAATATCTACAAGATTCGGAAAATCTGGATGGCTCAGAACATTTTCTTTGTTAAATCAGACACTATTATAGTTACAAAAATTGCTGCAGAAAAATTTACTCACATATCGTCGTACTAATTCATTAAAGACTTAAGGGCAGTCGATGCTTAATTCAGAAAAGACCTAAGTGTACAGAAAAAAATTTAAAAAGACCTATGTGGAAGTATGTATTTACTTATGGCTAAATCGCGCTATATATGAAGAATCGTTTTGGCAAGATATAGCCATAAGTATATACATACATACTTGCACATAGGTCGTTTCTGAATTAAGCATCGACTGCACTTAGGTCTTTTATGAATTAGTACGACGATATGTTTGTATGTATTTACGTTACATATTTACGACCTGTGCGCATTTACAGAAAATTGGTCCATCAGTGGGTGGTTTTTTTATTTATTAAATTAAAATCAATTACGTAACGAATGCATGTTGATAAAAGTCCTACCTGGTTTTCGTCTTCATGCTCCGTTCCAGTTGCTGAGCGTGTCAAGGAAGCAATAGCTATTATGACGGTGATAATTCCGACGAGAAGAAAACCTCGCATTCTTAAGGAAGAAAATGCTAAAGAGCTGGGCGAATTCTATTCGATCTGAAACTTGTATAAAATGAACTAACAATAAATATGGAATGGCATGTGGAAAATTACTAGTTTTTGCGGTGGATCTTTTATACGTTTACAAAGGTAAAATATGTAGGTAAAAAGGTAAATATTGCCCTCGTTAAAAAATATGTAATTGTCAATGCGGCATACAATCATGTCTTGTATCATAGTTCCGACCAGATTAAATATGTATATTTGCATTTTATGTAATAAAAAACCTTACATATTTGTACCCTACATAATTTCATGGTTGGTAAAGACACCTTTTATTTACCACATGATCAAATATTCCATTTTGTTCATGTTTATCTACGTACATAAATATGTTAATGGATAGCTGAACAGTGTACAAGTACTTGAAAAATTCAGCCTTCAGATTACTCGAGCTTGTTTAATAATTCACAAAAATGGGTTAACAAACAATTATATACAAGCTGTATGAAATATTTGTAATGTAGGATATTTATTTAGCCTGAATTATCAAACATACCATATGTAATCTTGAACATAGGTCGATTACATATTTTGATGGGCATTCGTAGACCTTATAGATAAAATTGGTTCCGTGTGGATCTCACAAGGGACACTCACGACCTGTCGTTTGAGTCCAGGGTACCCACCATGTTTTTTAGAATCTACTAGGACCCCAGATGAAGGATTCATTCATATTTCCGTGTAAAACTCATATTTGGCGTCGTGCCGTGGCGCCAAATTCGCCAAATTTGAATGTTTTTATTTTTGAAACCCCCATAACTTTTGAAATCCTGGACGGATTTTCAAAATAATTGACAAAAATCATGACAAGGAGTTCAACTTTCTTATCCCATGAAATTTTTTCAAAAATTATTACTTTCAACTTTTCGCAAAATTTCGCAATTTTCTTAAAAATGGGGGTTCGTCGAAAAAATGCTGAAAATATTTCAAAAATTAGAAATTTTTTATTTTTATTTTTCTGTCAAAATTTTCGACTTTTTTGATCATTTTAAGCATAAAATTTTGAAAATCCGACATAAAATGCAAAAGTTATGGGGGTTTAAATTTGGTCGAAAATGCAAATTTTTAAGTTTGGCGCCACGGCACGACGCCAAATATGGGTTTTACACGGAAATATGAATGGACCCTTCATCCGGGGTCCTAGTACATTCTAAAAAACATAGTGGGTACCTTGGACTCAAACGACAGGTCGTGAGTGTCCCTTGTCAGTAATGCTCGGACTTTGTAATAATAATAACTAGAGTAGAAAAGCTCTCAAAATCAGAAAATTGTTCCGAAATGGAATAGAAATAGGAGTGCAATAATTCCTTGTACAAAATAAAAAAATAAATAAAAAATAAAATACATATATGTATAACAACAATGTCACATAGTTTCGTAATAGAAATACTCAAAAAATTAGGATTTTGGATGAAATTTATATATTTTCGCACATTTTCTGTCACTACATATTTGTATGCTCAAACTGGGGAGGGAATGATTTTTTTGAAACTATGCAAGATTGTAGTTGTCATAAAAGAATTATTGTACCTTTATTTTAGTATTTGCTGGAACAAAAAAAATTGCTGATTTTCAAAATTGTAGAAAGGTTTTCCACTCTGAAAATGTATTATTAAATATTATAAAGAGTTATGTGTACATACGTGGGTGTTTTATTATTAATTTTCAAAAGGTATGTTCCACACTGTTTCTGACCAAACTTTTGATGAAATAACAAACTTCAAATACTTTTAGAATGCTGTGATTTTTTTCAGTTCTGTAGGTTAACATTAACACTAGCAATAACTCATTAAAATTTACCTCGAAAATATGCCAAAATTTACGACTTGACTTCATTATCATCCGAAAACCGTTTTCCCCTGATGTCTTTCTTTAAGTTTCGAAACGAATAATAATCACTAAGGGACAAGTCTGGACTGCACGGGGCGTGGTTTGTGCAGGTAAAGCGATTTTCGTCTGCACTAACCCTCGCAAAAAGCCAGGTATGAGGTGGCGCGTTGTCGTCTAAAAAAAGGCCAACTCTTTATTTTGACCCCACGTTTCTTTTCAACCGGAGGACGCAGCTCCTTCGGGGTTCCTGCATACACGGCCCCATTTATTGTAGTATTTACAGCAATAAATTTTATAAGGAGGGGACCTTTGGTATCCTTGAAAGTGGTCATCATCATTTTTTTGTCAGATTTTTGCACTTTTCAATTCACGGGCGGTGGCAACCCCTCGTGCTTCCATTTAGGGAATTATTATTTGGTCACCGGGTCATAATAGTAAACCCAAGTACCATATGCAACTAATAAAATATTGAGCAGGTTCAAGTCTTCATTTAATAAGTTAAAATTGGCATTGCAAAAGTCGACTCGATCCTGTTTTTGAGATGCTGGAAGCAATTTTGGTACCCAACGGGCGGAAACCATTTTCATACCTAAGTCTTCAGTTAACATGGAACAAATTGCTGGTTTTGAAACACCCATCTCATCTGCTAAATAGGACAGTTTCAATCGCGGATCTCTCATTATTTGTTCCTCTAGTTACCGGAGCCTTTCTGTGGAAGAAACGGATTTTGAGCGTCCTGGCGACTTTTTGCCCGAGACCTCGTTTCGCCATCATTTAAAATTATTGACCCAATTGAATTTGTGTTTTGTGTTGGGCAGTCTTCATCGTAAATTTTAAGGATTCAACCATAAATCTGCGACACGTATTGCCGATCCAGCATTAAAAATTAAATCACACTACGATATTTAATTTGCAAATCTAGCATTTTTTCCGTCGAGGTAAAGTTTGCCGATTTATTGCTAGTGTTTATGTTAACCCACAGAGCTGAAAAAAATCATAGCCTCCTAAATGTATTTGAAGTTTGTTATTTCATCAAAATTTTGGTCAGAAACAGTGCGGAACATACCTTTTGAAAATTAATAATAAAACACCTACGTACATGTGAAAGACCTGCATTGTGAGAACCAAAGAATATTTAATACTTTAATTCGATTTTGATCATCCAATGACAAATTTATGTAGCTAAGGAAAATTCTCTTTATATAATAATGAAATTCTCAACATGTGGGTGAATTAATTTCAAATAAAAAAATTCAACGTTAGATTTAAACTGATCACAATTTTTTAATGGCTTCCATACAGGATTTCATAAATCTGTCCATCTCCGAATGTTAGCATACTGGTTTATAAAAGGGTAAGTATTTAAGAGAGGATTGGGGAAATGTTGACAAAAATATTTTTATATTTCTCACATATTTATGTATCACCACAATATTATCCATGCAATTGCGTCGTTTTCCTCTTTATTAATCAACTATTTGTCAAATGATAAGGTAAATAGCAACCATGTAAATACAGCTCGAGATAAGTACAGATATTTTCCACCTGACGAACTAAAATAATGTTAATTGATCCACTCCATTGCAAACTTATCATCCATCCTTTCATCAACTATATTCCATAACAACTCCCCCATTAAGAGCACCATTAATTACACTCTCAATGTTTTTTAAAATGTCCCGTAATTTACTAATTACATTTTACAGAACCTTTGCCACTAAATATTTCCGAATCTCAAAAACCACTCCCCTCAGACTTCTGACTATTTTAAATAAAAAAGTAATCCCTAAAAAACCCTGGGTCCCCTTCTCCTTCCTTGCAGGATTCACCTTATCTCTCCAAATGGACTCTAATCCCAGCAATCGTAAAATACTTCATCTCTCCTTTAACGAAAACCGCACCCCGGAAGAATTTGAATTTCTGCGTCATCTCTTCAACAAAATTCGGGACCGAACACGAACTCACGAAGAATTGTCATCCTTGGTCGACACGATATTGAAAAATACAAATATTTTTCGCCGAAATACGGACGAAAATCGAAATGACTATGGCTCGTGTTTTAGGATCCTAGTATTTTGGGTGTGTCTCAATGTTGAACGGTTTTCTTACTTGGATCTCGTCGAATTGCTGAAATACGCGGAAATCGCGAGGAATAGTGTCGCCTTGGATGGAGTTCGTGCCTCGGAATGGAAGTTGAATACCTAGTCTATTCATATAAAGTGTTACTCGTCCCGTACTTTTGAACCCTATAAGATAAAATTAAAAGGTAAGTTGCATTTTGTACATCCATTCAGTGGCTATCATTGATGTTAACCTCTTTTAGCTGACCTTACTATGTCAAAAGATGGAGGAGCTTTACCATACGCCCGCGGCAATAAGTTTTCACTTTTTTCGTGAGGAGAAAAAATCACAAAATTCGAGTAGTGTAGCAATTCAAGGACAGCTACGATCTTGTTGCCTAAACTATTAAAGTACCCCTAGGGACAGTGCCTATCTATGGTATAAAAGTTTCGGTGGTCAAAGGTCATGGAGGACTCCAGTGATGTCCGAAGCTTTGAACGTCACAATAGCACAAAATCTCCTTCCGACGGCAAAGACTTTGACCATGCAAATGACCTTCTACCTTCAGCAATCAGAAAAGTACTGAAAAACGACCCACACACAAAGGCTTTTAAGCTTAGTAAGTACCACATGGTCACCCATCCCCGGAAAGACGCTAGGCTCAAACAAATTAACTCCTTCTTCAAGCGGCACGGGAAAAAAACAAAAAAAAATCTCCGTTTATCGATGAGAATTCCTTTATGACGGATAAATTTTTGAACCAAAAAACTAGCTAATTTTACATTATATAGTCTAGGGATTAGCTAGTTACAAAATAGAAGTTCAAATATTATCTTATCGGGGTCCATTCATGGTTTTGGTGGGAATTGGCGGGATTGGGGAAAAATCGACAAATTTCCTCGACTATGGAGAGGAGATGGTTTTAAAAAATATTTGGCTAACGTCATGGTGAAGGTGGAACACCCCCTCAAACAGTCCATATTGGATGTAAAGCCACCGACCTTAGTGCGTGGCTCTACATAAATAAATACCTCGAAATTCGTGAAAAACTGGATTAAAATCCATATTTCTGACTTCATTTCCATTTTAGGTTTGACCTGGCATTTTCGAACCGAAATTGATGTCACCACCAAACATTGATTAAAGTCGAGGAAAAGCTCTGTTCTTAGCCCCATATATGCGTCAGGGTCGCAAAAAAATTTCTGACCCGGGAATGTGACAATGTGTCAATAAATTTCGTTCGTGCCGCGGCGGTTGCTTGGCTTTCGCGTCTTCAAAAGTTTATCGGCATATGGGACTCAAATTTTGAAGTGTGACACATGTTTTCGATTCGAAATTTAACTGGCTTTCCAGTGAAATAAAAATTAAATTTCAATTTCCAAAAATGAAAGCGTTCTAGGCGTTTATACCAGTAACACTTTATCTGAATAGACTAGGTAAGATCTTGGTTGGTGTATAATTTAATAGATTAACTTTTGATGAAATTTAAATAGTTTTGAAAAATTTTAATATTTTTATAGCTAGTGCAGCTTGCAAGAATGCGCGACGATAATGCGCACAAACTTGGAAAGCAGTTAAATAAAATGATCTCTCCATGGATTTGAATTTTGTGTAAAAAATAATCACAACTTGCAATTCTACATATATACACATGTTATAAATACATACATGCATTTTAACAAAACTTCATTCGATTCAATAATTGGCGCCCATTTTTGAATCATTATTCATAACAATATTTATGCAAATATCATGTGCTACGATGATATTGGGATTGGGCTTATCCAAGCTTTTGCCAGTGAAATCGATAGCATTCTGTGTGAACTGTCCTAATGGATGATTACTCATGTTATTCAGTAATTGAAAAACTCTGAATGCAATGTATTTGAATTGATGAATGTGTATAAGTTATCAGGAGATAATTGATTTGTCATACATTCATAACTACAGACTTATGTACATGCATATGTTCATATGTAGCCGTAGGTTTAATGCACGATTACAAATACTGCGCAGTTATAGTGTCACACCTTATCCACATATATAAACTTATTTTTAATCAAGGTTTAAAGTTGCCCCATTTCCGTGTGTTCATTCATAGGTAACTTTGCGCACCATGCCCTACAAGCAGGTCACAAACTAAAAAACGTTTAATTAAAAAAAAAATCCTGTTTTTGGGGTTTCAAAGAATTCAGAAATATAGCAACATAAAATGTTGAATTTTTTTAATGAATTTCTATATTTTCAGGGAAGTATGTAAATAGGTAATTCTGAACATGATGTGGTAGAACTATATACGTTTAAATTTTTGGGTGTTGGTATTGTGCATATTTACAAACTTCTAATGGATTTTGTTGGCATGAAGATGTTAGTTGATTGTGCTAATGAGATTTTGACTGCTTGAGTCATTCACACCGAATTATTGCATTAGTTTGGGGACCTTACTGAAATAATGTGGTTAAAGTTGGGAGAATTTTTACGCTAACGTTCCATCAATTTTTGTCCTGTCAACTATGCCCTCATTACATATTTATTGTAACGTCGTTTTTATATCGGCATAAATCCACGTACAAATATATGTATGCATGTAGATAAAATTAAGTAGATATACATAATCTGTCATAGATACATATTTATGAACATATATTTATATGTAACGATTACACATTAGTGGCTTATTCTCTACCCAATACAATGCAAAGTTCAGATCCATAGGTGTATAAAATTCTGCAGAATATTGACTCAAATGACTTGTAAGGTTTCCCAAATTTTCTGGGGTACATAATTTGGCACTAAATAAGCTTCAACATACTTACCATAAATACTGAGAATTCTACAATTAACCCAAGATGGAAATACCACCTCACAACTTGTAAAAATGTACATACATAACTCGGCCGCATCCTTAATGCACGGTACTCAGCAGTTCGCGTTGTACTTGTTTTCCGCGTACCGGGAATTTCGAGGCACAAAAGGTTAAGATATGCTATTCAGTTATTGTACAAATGTACACGAAATAAGATCATGGCTACCACTTGCGCATAAGTGTACAAATCTAGCCCAAATTTACTACTTTACACACAATTGAAATACAACCGAAGACAAGAAAGAATTAGTGCGAATTAAAAAAAATATGTTTGTAAAACTTGGGACGCTCTTAATCCTAAGAATTTTACAGATTAGTGCAATTAATCAGGATCTTTACACGAATTTAGAAGCATTAGATGGTGAAGGGAAGTACATCCTCCGGTGGGAGGTGGTAGGAAATAAGATCGAGTTTGAAGTGACGGCGGAAACCTTGGGATTCGTCGGGTTTGGTATTTCCCCCTCGGGAACGATGACCGGAGCGGATATTTTTATTGCCGGGGTGCGGCCGGATGGATCAACGTATGGGCAGGTAAGGGAATTTCGATACCAAAAAATTTTCGTTTTTTTTCTAGTGTTTGAATTTTCTACAATGTAATTTTGTGTTGTTTTTAGTTCTTGAATTCCTAAAAGGAGGATAAATTAAGTCATTGAAAAAATGAAATACAATTTGCTTGTCTTTCAGGATTTCCACGCAACTGGCGAGACCATGCCGATCTTGGATACTCGACAGGACTGGAGGCTTCTGGAGGCGTATGAATTACCGGAGAAAAACGAGACGGTTTTAAAATTTTCGCGTCATCTTAACACCTGTGATGAGCACGATATAGCCATCGGGGTAATTTAAACATGCAGTTGGTCTTCTACATGCTGACAAATAAACTTGTTTTTTAAATATTTTTAGAATGACACGAGCCGAATAATCTGGGCGCTCGGAGCCACGGATACGATCGCCTATCACGGCGGGACAAACAGAGGGACGAAAAGTTTAAATCTAATTCACGCCACGACACCCACACTGGACTTCTCGAACTTACAAAATTATACTATAATGACAAACATCACAATGCCAGGGGCCGACACGACGTACTGGTGCACATTGCATAAGGGACCCACCTTGACGAGAAAGCATCACATCGTGGCGGTAAGAAGGATTTATTTTAAGATTTAAATATCTGGGTATATGGGGTCTCTGAGTTCCCGCGTTTTTCGAATTTATTGTTTTTTAAGCGTAGAAATTTTCGTTTTATGGGAATCTTGATCTAATTTTATCCACTGACTAGTTTGACACCCTGCTCCCCAGCCTGGCGTCGTTTCAGCACACCCACCATTTTGTGGTGTACACGTGTAAGCCACCCGCCAATCTGACGGATGAAGAGGCATTTGACCGCTTCACTTATGCCAACGGAGTTCAAGGAGATTATTGCCATATGACAAAAATACTCCCAATTGTTAACTGTCAGTCTCTCATCTACACGTGGGCGAAGGGCGGGAAGGTTAGAAAATTTTAATTATTTGTTAATTTTATTCATTTAGATTTGTCAAATCTTAGATGTTTTATCAATTTGAACAGTTGATGACATTCCCAGAAAATGTAGGCTTCCCGATTGGAGAAACTCCTACCGGTCAATATTATATGGTTGAAGTGCACTACGACAATCCGCAGCGCCTGGAGGGCGTCTTCGTCGAGACGGGGTTGGTCATGTATTATACGTCACAGTTGAGGCCCATCGACGCTGGAATACTCGCAATCGGCCAACATGTCGACATTTCGCTGACCATCCCGCCAAATCAGGATGCTTTTAAGGTCGTGGGCCATTGCAGTTCGCAATGTACGCGTGAGGCGCTAGAACCTGAGGGAATTACCGTGTTCGCATCGATGCTCCACTCACACAAATCTGGTAAATTAGTTAATACATTGAAGAAATAAGGTGTGATTCATAACTTGTTAGACAATTTCAAAGTGAGTTGATTTAAGAGGAAGATTCATGATTATTACTTTTCAATCAATCAGAAAGTTGGAAGAACTTTTCGAATTATTCAATATCAATTAATTCACAACTTGTTGATTTTTTCGAATGCTACCAGTGGAAACACTGAGATCAAAAATTCTTTAATTCTCATTATTTAAGTTTTTCAGGCCGAAAAGTGAAGACACGTCATTTCCGCGGGAATATTGAACTTCCCTGGATCGATTTCGATAACCATTACGATTTCAACTTTCAACAGAACAAGGTCCTCCTCGAAACCCCCCAAATTCTTCCTGGTGACCAACTCTCAGTCGAGTGTACTTATTCGTCTGTCTGGCGGAAAGGAAAGCCCGTAATCGGTGGACGTTCCACGTACGAGGAAATGTGTCAAAGTGTGCTCTGGTATTATCCAAGAAATCGGTTGCAGTGCATGTCTGTCTACGACGTTGATACCCATTTGGCCGACTTTGGCGTGGAAACGTATCACAAGGTGCAAGAACCGTCGTCACTGAGATATATTGTTGACAAACCGACCTTCATCGCTGGCGATTATTACGACCTTGTCGCGACCAAGTTTAACTGGACGGAAGAGTTTATACGTGTCTATCAAGATGCTAGACTAAACGGGGATCAGATGTCGCGATGTGAAGGAATAATAAGGCCCACAAGATATCCGGAACAGGTTATCGAGTATGTTCCAAAAGATGAGTGCTTGTTGAGATGAGAATACGAATTAAATGCGTCAATTAAAAAGCTAATAAAAAAATTTTGCAACGTAAATTGCATCGTAACGTAACAACGTATTGGGAGTACCAATTAAATTTACTTCACAGAATAATTGCTTACCAAGTTCGACTTGACTACAAATATGTACAAGTTATTGAGAATAATGTCACCCTTTTGAAAATTAGTTGCACTCTTAATTCTATATTAAGCAAACTAACCTACAAACTTTACCATTTATACAGTGCGCGTTACGCTGAATTTAGCATTAATACACAATTGCCCAAGTGCATGCATTTATTTGCTTAAGAGTAACATTGCTTATAAATTTGTACAATCGTTCTATGGTTAGAAGTATTTATAAGACCATATTTGGTCCTATAGAATAGGTCAAATATTTATCGTATTTATAGTTTTCCCATTGTAACCTAACTATTTATTTGCTTGTTTGTATTTATGAAACTATCAAATTTCATTAGTGTACCTCAACTGCATGGGAAATTCAATAAAAAATTGAACAACTGTCTTCATAAATCTTTCTAATGTTTTTCTAGGTGGAAGGCGTTGGTCATAATATATGGCAGTTATACATAAGTAAAAGCAGTATAAGGATTTTTGATCTAGTAACTAAATAACTAATTAAATAAATAAACTAATCGATCAATAAATATTTATCAATAATGTTCCACAAAGTTCAGAGAATTTAAATTATTTATTGGCAAGGCTCATGAAATATGCTAGTTTGCAATTTAAATATTTTTTATTTATTCCCGGTTTAAGGAAAGCCAGCGTCTCTGCCAACTAGGTTATTTTATAGATTTGTGAAATTTAGAGCTTTTTAAATACCAATTTTATAATAATTTTATATATCAAATAGATACCTAGAAACTTGCTCATAGGTAGGGTTCCTCACGGACGAATTTTGTATACTTTTTATTATTCACGTTACCACTGGTCAGACTTCGTTTCAACTACTTTGTTCTGCTCATCGAACAAAATTTAACTGCTATACATACATCAGGGTAAATTATATAAATACTTATTATGTTCTTTGCAACTCCGATGTATGTGGGTTTCTGTATGCATACTAATGTGATTGGTAATTCAATGACTTCGACATTTTGGCGATTTAGGTCTTAGCCGTTTAATTTTCCATTTCATTTATCCTTTCTATACGATTTAAGCACGAATATATAACGCATATATAATTCTACACAGTCGTTTGAAATACTAATTTACTGTTGGACCAGCAACCGCTTTTCCAAGACGACTAGAAACAGTCAAAAAAGATAAATATATTTGAAACTATTTATACGAATCTTCGATTTTCTTAACTCCTTTCGTTTCTGTCCAGAAGAATTAATATTAAAAACTAACTAACGAATGAATTTCCGATTTCATTTTCATTGTCTTTATAGAAAGTTAGACATAATAATCTCTAAGCTGATAAATAAAGTAACTAGACATGCACCGAGTACTCGGCGCTGCCGAGTACTCGGCAGGTTTTGGCCGTGTTCTCACTACTCGGACTCGGCCGAGTATTTTTGCGTGCTCGGCCGAGTATTTCTTACATTTTTATATGCATCCAGTACCACTTTACCCGGTATTTACACCGCGCAGTTCAAATTATCCATCATGGGATTTTTGCAATCAACATCAAACTTACTTGAAAAATACACCAATGAAATTTGTTACTTCTATCCGATAATCAACTTTAATCGAAATGTTGGAACAGGAAGAAGAATCAGTAGCTTCACGTGATTCCGTCCACCAGTTCTCAAAATAATGATACTGGTGGGTAAATATTATGTAAACAATGATTTTTTTTATGATCGTTTTGACAATTTACTCGGTGGCCGAGCCTTGCTCGGTACTCGATTGCCGAGTTTGCTCGGTGCTCGGCAAACGAGCAGAAACGAGTACTCGGCAAAAATATAACCGAGTACTCGGTGCTCGGCCGAGTCGACTTTTTCGGTACATGTCTAAAAGTAACCCGATCTGTGGATACACTATTCGCCTGGCTAAAGAATCACTTCTCACTAGTTTCATATCACCAACTTGTAATTGGCCACTCAAAGTTAATACTTTCACTAAACCAGTTCCCTTTCACGACCCACAATGGAATGTTTAAGATGAAAAATTCAAATAAAAGTCGGCGCACGTTCCTGTATTTCTTAATTATACTTCATCTGATGGTAATTCTCAAGTGGCTACTAGATCAGTGGCTTTATCCAGTAAACCCTCCACCTGAAACATGGAAGTTCGTCCTCATGTACTACTGCCTAATATTATTTGTGACTTCAGTCGTTATCGTAGCCAAATACACAATACATAATAACGAGACGATATTTCTGCTTAACTCTGCACTTCAAATCGAGCAGGACGTTATGGTACAAGGTGCGTTATTATCCAATAAATATTAATAATCAGGATCAGGATAATTGCAATGCCTAACCAGGTGTTTTAACAGAATACTGAATCTGGAATAAAACAACCGTACGGAATATTTAATTGCAGGGTCAGACGTCGCCCAACTTTATTATATTGGCTTAAATGCGATCTCCACGGCATCAGTAGTGTTAATGCCAATAAACTGTTGTGTCTTTGCTTTGCGTCAGCCTTGCATGCCACCCGTCGTGACAAGCGCGATTTATCTTGAATGTAAATCGTGGAACGACTATGGGAACAGTGGAATCATCTTTAGGATTTTTGGGGCCATTTTATTTTATTATTTTGCAGCTTCAATTATGTGTGCCGGAACTTTCACTGTAACGGTTGTCCTGACTTATCCCTCTCAAGTTAAGGTGATTCTCCTGGGGTCCATGAATAGGTATGATCAGGCTTCAGAAAACATGAAAATGTAACTAGTATTAATGTAAATTGTAGTCTAAAAAATTTTCAATCTGCTCCAAAATCCACAACAACTCGCAAAAACCCCAACCGACAAAACCCTGGGCACGCACTGGCGTAACCTGGGCAGCATTCATTATATTCGCTTCTGGAAATAATATTCCCGTTTTGAAAAGTAAATGCACTCTATATCCCATATTACATAAACTATATTTACTTAATCCATCGTAACGTTAACTTAGGTTAGACTAAAATTTGCTCTGGATTTCGTATAGTTTACTTACGACAGAATTCAGAGTGCATCTACTTTTCAATGAGCTGTCTTTTTAAACGTATACGTGTAACTGGTGAGGTGTATAAATTGAGTCGTTATATCTTACAGAGATTTGAATACGGGAGGGCCACATGTTTCTTCATGCTTGAGAAAGTATCGCATCTTGGAATTATTAGTTGATATGCATAATCTTGTCCTGAAACAACCCGTCATGTCGGCATTGGTCGGATGTGTTACAACTCTTGAGAGTTTTACATTATACATTGTAATTGCATCTAGATCCGTTGTTCCCCTCCCACTTTTACTTCTATTCGCTGCAGTGGCTGTGAGCATGTTCTTTGTGATCGTACGGCTTTTCAAAATGATGTCCAACCCGTTCATCAAATCAGTTGAGCTACTTAACTCGCTGAAAAGAATGAATGAATCAAAACAGATTAAGAGATGCGTTCAATCATTTCGAGAGGCAAAGTTAACCTTGGGTGATGGCAAGTTCTTTGATACATCCACATCCCTTGTAATTTGGGCCAAGTGCATCGACTTGCTGATCACATTTCTCTTAACGTGAGGCGAACTATAACTCCTACTTTCCTTGCTATACATAGTCTCAACTTAAAAAGTGATAGTAGAGTAGACGGCCATATTAGGTTAGTTTTAAGGAATTTCAAAATTATTTTTATTCCATTGAAAGGCCAGTTAAATTTCACGTAGAAAACATGTATTAAACTTGAAAATATATTCCTCCTGTGACCATGAAGAATTGGTCACGTAAGAGAAAGCTCTATCAAAAATACGCACGGAATTAATGGACAAAGTGTATCATTCCCGGGTCAGAAATTTTTTTGTGACCCTGACGCATATATGGGGCTCAGAACAGACCTTCTCCTCAATTTTAATCAATATTTGGTGGTAAAGTTGTCTGCGGTTCGAAAATGCTAGGGTCAAACCTAAAGTGCAAATGAAATCAGAAATATGGATTTTAATCCAGTTTTTCACGAATTTCGATGTAAATGTTACTGTGGACCCCTTAACAAAGGTCGGTGGCTTTTCACCCAATATGGACTAGTTGAGGGGGTGTTCCATCTTCACCAGGACGTTTATCAAATATTTTTTTTAACTATCTCCTCTCCTTAATCAAGGAAATTGGGCTGTTTTTGCTCAATTCCGCCGATTCCCGCCAAAACCATGAACGGAGTTTGATAAGATGACATTTTGACCTCTATTTTGTCATAAGCTAACCCTTAGAATATTTGGCATAAAACGTATTAGTTTTTTTGCTGAAATATGTTTCGGTCGTAAAGAAATTATCATCGGTGAACGGGTTAGTTTTTTTGGTTTTTTTACCGTACCGTTTGGGGAGGGAGGTCGATTTTTGTACCCTTGCTTTGGCCTGGGAAATTTGTAGTATGTGACGCTTTCTAATCCAAAAGACCATCATCTTAAGGTCACTTTTCAGTGCTAATCTGATCTCTAAAGTTGAAAGGTCATTTGTATGGCCAAAGTCTTTGGCGTCAGACGGAGATTTTGTGCTATTCTGGCGTTTAAAGCTTCGGACATCACTGAAGTCCTCCATGACCTTGGACAACCGGAACTTTTATGTCATAGATAGACACTGTCTCTGGGATTACTTTAATAGTTTGGGCAACCAGATCGTAGTTGTACTTGGGTTGCTACACTTCACCAAACATTGTGCATTTTTTTCTCGTGCAAAAAGTGAAAAATTATTGCCGCGCGCGTGTAGCTAAGCTTCTCCTACTTTTGACCTAGTGATGTCAAGTAAAAGCAGTCAACACCAATGATGGGCACTGAATGTATGTACAAACCGCAATTGACCTTTTGATTTTATGTTGACCGGTTAAAAAACTACGCTCTACTATCACTTCTTATGGTAAGACTATGTATATAAACATATATATGTATATCTAGGCATACTTAACGATTTTCGTCTTTGTTAACCAATAATATAATTCATGCAACATTAGACGTGTGCCAACATATCGCCGTAAAAATACTACAGCACTAAATATATATATGTATGTACATATGCTGCGAAAAAGTTGTAGAGGTTAGCTTCTAAATACAACCTTTTTAGATATTTCAGCTAAAATTTACAGAAAAATCAATCAAAACCAATGACAATAAAAATTTTTTGTAGCTCTAAATATAATCGCGAATAATATGCATTTGCACGCATTCTGAATTCAGACCTCGTAACAGTAGATTATATAAGTAAATCCAGTCAACATAAATCCAATAGGGCAAAATGTATATTACTAATAGTAATATGCAGAGGCTAAAAAATCTAGGATCTACATCAATCCATCTACCTTTAGCTAAAAAATCAATACTTGTACCTACGTATAAGTTTTATTTTATCCTTCGCTAAGTTTAATCATGTCAATTTAATATGGCTCCTAAATTTGATTAAAAAAATAAGACCACTTTGATTAAATTATTTACATATCTGATAACAATATTGGACAATATCCTGGACTACGTATTGCATTATTTGGAGAAAAGGCAGGTATCCGA